TAGAATCTATTAAGGGGCTATTAAAAGGGGAAGCACAGCCAGGCGGTGGTGGCGCACGCCTTTAATCCCAGCACTTGGGAGGCAGAGGCAGGTGGATCTCTGTGAGTTTGAAGCAGCCTGGTCTATATAGTGAGTTCCAGGACAGCCAGGCCTACATAGAGAGACCCTGTCTCAAATTTAAAAAAAACAAAAACCTTCTTCACAGACCTAAATATCATTTGCACATCATTCGAAGTCAACTAATCAGTAAAACACAAAGGCTTTTATAAACTCTGATGCTTTCAATTGTGATTTTACCACATGTGACCTAGAAGTTTTAAGCTCAGCATTTCCAGCAACAAAATCACATGTAAATTTGCTCGTTATGTAAAGAAAATGGTTTCTCTATTTAGCCAACTTGAATTTAAACCAAAAAATTGTCCACAAGCTCAGAGCAATGAAAGCTTTGCTGAGTTTTTGAGTATGTTGGCAATAGTTAATTGCCATTATTAGTAGAAAATAAAGCTAGAGGTACATGCCTTTAATCCTAGCACTGGGGAGGCAGAGGCAGGCAGGGATCTCTGTGAGCTCAAGAAAGCTAAGAAATTGTGGAGTCATTTTATATTCAAATAGTGTGTGCACATACAAGCATACATACATACCTACATGAATATACACACACAAATACATGGTCACCCTACATTTCAGCAGGCTTGTAAATCATATGAAACACAAGTCTCTGACTTGATAGGTCCCTGTATATTCCTTTCACATATGAAAAAAAAAAAACACCCAGAAATATCATATGCCAAAGGTAAGTCACGGAATGTTCTGAGAGTAATAGACAAAAAGTCACCTTATACTTAAGCATCACCTGATTACATAAAAGTATAACAAATCAAATGACTTAAGATACACTTCATAATTAAAAAAAGATCTTATGCCAAAGGAACCACCACTATAACAAAAATAGCAGCCACAAAACCAATCACCAAAGAGCTAAAAACTCCTTTAATGTGAAAACCCTAACCTGTATAATCCCATAAAAAGCAACATATACTATTAAAAGAGACTAGATTTTTTTTTTTCAGGCTATCATGAGAATTTGCAAGCCTGCTCCCAGCCTTGATGCAGCTATAACCAAGAATAACCATCATTACTAAGTATCATAGGATCTAATTTTCACAAAAATTAAGACCTGTTTATTCTCTCCAACATACACTTCTGAATGTATCTGCTTAGAGACTGGAGATGGCTCAGTGGTTTAGAGCACATGTTGCTTTTGCAGAGGACTCAGGTTCAGGTCCCAGTTCCTACACGGTAGCTCACAACCATCCCTAACTCCAGTTTCAGGGAATCTGATGTCCTCTTCTGACCTCAGTGGGTATCAGGCATGCACATGGTACATATGCATACATACACTCATACACATAAAAATATTTCTAAAATATGTGTCTAGTGTCTACCACCGATGAGCAGGCTGCATTAGGTTTTAGTCTAGATCAAACAGTATAAAGAAAATAGTAGACACTTGACTGTTATTTGGTATAATCCTCAAACACTATCATATTAGCTCCATCATACAAATGAAGAAACTGAGGCTTGAAAAAGCTGCCCTGTGCACAGGCACAGAAAAGAAGCATTCAAATTTAGGGTTTGTGAATTTCTAAGTACAGGCTTTTCACAAAACCACAAAAATTTCTACCCCTCTAGCCTGGGCTCTGCTTGCAAGTCTACATACTAAGGAAAATAAATAAAATGTTTATTTCACAATTCAAAATATGGTTAATATTGTTGGTGTAACATCTGAAATCTGGCATTTTTAAAATTTAAAAGAACAAAGAAGGTACCATAAGACCAATCAATCTTTCCTTCTCTGAAGTTATTTATTGAACCACTCAATATTCTACTATTACATGTAAAAATTTTTTAGTTTTTTCTTAGAATGAACTTCCAATCAAGTCATAATGACCAAAACAAAACAAAACCTCTTAAAATTAGTTACAAACAAAAAACTTAAGTTGAGGGCCCAGTGTGGTGGCTCACACCAGAAATCCCAGCACTCAAGATGTTTAGGCATGAGGATCAAGGCCACCCTGGGCTACACAATAAAAGCCTAAGTAAAAAAACAACATCCTCATTGTTCGTGGTATTATGCAGTTAATATTTTCTTCTGGTAAGACTAGACACAAAGTAGAATCATTTCAAAGATCAAATTTGTGATCCAAATAAGAAATTCCAGTTTCCTAATGATATGCCAATCCTATGTTCAAACAAGCACAAAATTCCAATTCAACACGGTAAAAGTCACAGAAAATTCTCCAACATCAGCCTTAGTCAAGTAACTCAGTTTACTTCTTTGCTTTGGCATTGTCTACATGCTGTTAATAAAGCATATAATAACAAAAGGAGAAATAATCCATAATCCTCAGAAGCTTAATAAAATAAACCAAAATGGAAGACATAAGCCGGGCGGGTGGCGGCGTCGCACGCCTTTAATCCCAACACTCGGGAGGCAGAGGCAGGCGGATCTTTGTGAGTTCGAGGCCAACCTGGTCTAGAGATCGAGATCCAGGAAAGGCGCAAAGCTACACAGAGAAACCCTGTCTCGAAAAACCAAAAAAAAAAAAAAAAAAAAAAAAAAAATGGAAGACATAAATCGGGAAGTTAGGTCCTCTGCTTTACAGACAAGAAAACAAAACCTTCAAGGTAAGAGTTAGAATTGCATAATGGTTAAAAATACTAAGCACTGTAGTCAAATCTGGGTACCTTTAATCTGTCTCTGCAGCCTTTCTGAAAGCATTTAAACAATTTAATTTCCTAGGGCCTCAGTTTTCTCAAATGTAAAACAAGAGTAACTGTCAACCTATATTTTAAGCAATGAATTGCTGGTACTACTGTTATTGCATAGTGTGGTGATGCTGGAACAAAAAAGACAGAATTTGAAGGCCAGTCTTCAAAGGTCTTCCAAGTTTCTGAAAATTTGTAATTCCAAATTTGCCCATCAGTCCAAAATTCAAATCTGACACACGTACTGACATTTACAGTACTCAGTCAGTCATGCCCTTCACCTGCTTGTTCTTAATATGTAGCTCAAACATAAAGAACACTGAAAGTGTAGCCAAAGGTTGTGCTAGCATTTTTGACTAGTGACCTAGGTTCCAGTTTCACAATCTGTGTCCAAGGTAATCTCTATGGTACCATCTCTAAACTGATCTACTTCAATAAAAAACAAACAAAAAGCACTTCCTAAATAATGCAAAATAAAACCTCTTAGAAGCCGGGCGGTGGTGGCGCACGCCTTTAATCCCAGCACTTGGGAGGCAGAGCCAGGCGGATCTCTGTGAGTTCGAGGCCAGCCTGGGCTACCGAGTGAGTTCCAGGAAAGGCGCAAAGCTACACAGAGAAACCCTGTCTCGAAAAACCAAAAAAAAAAAAAAAAAAAAAAAAAACCTCTTAGAATTAGACAAATCACTGCTCAGAAAAAAAAAACTACTTCCTTTTCAAGTTTTTTTGTTTGTTTGGTTGAGGGTTTGGGAATTTTTTGGTTTTGTTTTGTTTGTTTTGAGACAATTTTCTCTGTGTAGCCCTGGCTAGCCTGAAACTCACAGAGATCTGCCTGTCTCTGCCTCCCAAGAGCTGGGACTAAAGGCATGCACAACCACTACATGGCTCAGAAAACATTTTTTTAAAGTATTATGGAATCACAAAAGGCTAAAAAAATAACTGCACTATTATGGGATAACTGAAGTCTATGCTCTCTAATCTGCAGAGGGTTCTTCCACTAACTGGACCATTTATTCATTTAGGTCTCCATTAACTCCTCATCCAGTACTCTAAGAATACTTACCTTGAGCTCAAAAGTAACAGGTGAATGTTTTTGACTAGTTTTTAGCCCCAAAAGGTAACTTAATGAAGGTGTTTTAAGAACTGACACTAGCTGGGTGTGGTAGAGCACACCTTTAATCCCAGCACTTGAGGGGCAGAGGCAGGTAGATCTCTGAGTTCCAGGCCAACCTCATCTATATAGTCAGTTTCAGGACAGCCAGGGCTATGTAAAGACTCTGTCTTCAAAATAGATAATAAACCCTAAAATATTCCATACTGAATTGTAATGATGTTAATCTCTTCACTTTCTCAAGAACCATGAACACAGCATGCTTCTGTGATTTCACATATTTTGAGGGAAGACTACCTAAATCAAGGGCTTTAAAGAAATCTCCACTCCTGCTTAGCATATACAAACGATATCAGATATACTACTAATTTGCCAAAAAAAATAAAGCCAATTGTTTGCTGAAAAAATAACAGCTTTCTTCTTCCAAGTTGGTCATTCACATGTCATCATCATCATCATCATCATCTTGTTGTTGTTGTTGTTGTTGTTAGAAACACTTGTTATAAACCCAATTGTCTAGGCTGTCATTAAAGATGTGCAACAGTTGATACTGGATGGTCCACATTCTGGTGATCCTTTGTTGGATTCCTATTAAACACTTGGATGAAACAACTCAATACACTGACTCCATATAGTTTGCATTTAGAAAATTGTGATCCAGTAAGTGAAAATCATTTTCTTCTAGATTAGCAACATATATTTCACTGATCTCAGTTCTTCAATAGCGCTCAAGACATCCAGTGATATATCTCACGCCAATGACACATGCCAAGGAATAAAATAGCAAAATTTTCTGAAGTATTTCCATATTAACATCAAGGAGGAGTTACTGGTTACCTCAGTGGCACCTACAGGATACTTACGAATTTGTGTGCAGATATTCAAAGGTTAGTTGAGCTCGGTTGAGACTGCTGTAATTGGTGAAGGCCATGACTGCAATGAGTCTCCAGTCTTTACCCGTTAACAGGGGAAGTACATATGACTGAATAGATTTTCCTAGGGTTCTGTCCAGTAAGGGGTAAATGTGGGCTTCTTAGTGACACATAAAACAAAATTTCCCTAGTATCTATCCAAAATATAGTCAGACATTTGAAACTGCAAGTGATTTAAGTATGTGACGACTATGATGTACTATTTTGGAAAGAACTACATCCTAAACCTACAGTCCTTAAGAGTGGTGAGGGTCAAGCTTCCTCCATGCAATTGCGTTGTGTCAAAAAACGAATGCTTCAGAATGGTCTTCAAAGTTGGCGGTTTATTACTGCTTCATCTTCATGTTCTTCTAGTCCTTTTCTGTTTCCTGAAAAGAATCAGGAAATTGACCGACTTCTGTCAGAAAGTTGACGGTCCACCTACGTCATTACCACCGGAGACTTCGCCACCACCGACGACACCAGGCTCCTCCAACAAGTGTTCTACTGGCCAGTGCGGTGGAGTGGATGCTATTTCCCGCTTCACCGCTTCCCAACTGAAAGGTCCTTGGTGCTGACTGCCGATTTCTTTCCCCAGGCCCCGTCCCAACACAGCTGGCTGGTATGCCCCAATCACCACAGGTGATGGGTGAAACTACTCACAGTGGCCCACAGAAAACACCTCACAGGCCACCCTCCCCGAATCACCTCAGGCGCGCCCTTCCCCCACTCCCCTCAGAAGACAGCCTCGGGCCCTCAGGCCTTCCCGGGCCTGGGTCCTGTGGCCACCTCCTCGCTCCTGACAGAAAGGAGTTAGTCCCAAGATCCAGGGAGGAGAACAGGGGGCAGTGGCGAGCGCACCCCCAGATCCGTTCGGGCGTTGCCTGCAGCTCGCAGATGCCTTTGTCCCTCCCCGCGGAATTGGAACTCAACCACCGCAGCGCGCTCTTGGAACCATGTGCTGCCGCTGCTGCCGCCGCCGCCGCCGCCGCCGCCGCCGCCCGCGCGCGACACGCCGTGCCTGCACAGATGACGACAAGACCAGCGTCACGACATTCAGCGTTCAGGGCTTCTCTGCTGCCGCCGCCGCCGCCGCGGCCGCCGCTGTGGCCGCCGTCGCCGCCGCCGCCGCCGCCCGCACCGCTACCTCCGACACCGCTTTGTCTCCGTCAGCGCACGCAGCGCGAGCCACCTCGCTCTCTCCCGACGGCCTGTGCCTCCAAGGCCTCCGCCGCGCCTTCGACCAATCACGGAGCCGCCAGTCTTCCCGCCCCCGCCCTGAGACCCCGCCTCCGGATTGGCGGGCCGCGCCGGCCCACGTGACCGGATCTGGCCGGGGCCGGCCCGCCCCCATCACGTGAGGGCGCGCGCCGCTCTTCCTGCTTTCCTGACCCTCTCCGCCATTTAAAGAAACAGTACCGGGGGCGGGCCGAGCGACGCAGCCGGGACGGTAGCTGCAGCGCAGAGCGGAGGAGCCATCTTGTCTTGTCGCCGGGGAGTCAGGCCCCTAACTCGAAGGAGCCCTGGCGCGCCCTCCCCCCCTCCCCGGTCTGGTAGGGCGAAGGAGCGGGCGTGCGGTCGATCGAGCGATCGGTTGGCGGCTCTTCCTCCTGCTCTGGCATCCAGCTCTTGGGGCGCAGGCCCGGCCGCCGCGGCGCGCGCCCGGTGGCCGCTGGCGCTCGCGCCGCGTCTTTCTTCTCGTACGCAGAACTCGGGCGGCGGCCTATGCGTTTGCGATTCGACGAGGAGTCGTCCGGGTGGTTGGCGGCGGGGGGCAGCTGCTCCGCCCCGCTCCCGGGGAGGCGGCGGGGGTGGCTGGGGTGGCCGGGGCCGGCCTGGAGGCCTGGCGCCACCCTTCCGGGCCTGCTAGGACCCAGTTGGAGGGACAGGAGGGAGCTGGAGGATGGTTGGTGGTGGGCTTTCTCCTTTGCCTTTTCCTGCTTATGCCACCTTAGTGGGGGGCCGGGAGCTCTGGCGGCAGCTCCGGGGTGGGGATTCGAGCTCCGGAGTCGGAAGATCTGGGTTTGCTTCCGGGCCTAGCCACCCGCTGGCCGAGTGACCTTAGGCAAGTCACTCTGTAATTTGTCCGCGCCTCAGTTTCCTCCTCTGCCTATCAGTGTGTGTATGGGATTGAAAGCGCTTCACACAAGCGTCAGTTTACATAAAGGATGATTATTGTTTGTATTTTTTCTTTGAGTTGCAAGAAGACTTAGCAATTGCTCATTCCCTGAAATTAGGTCCGGGAACCTTTTATTGGAGTTGGAGATCGGCAGGCTCCTTGAATTTGTGTGCAGAAACATGTGGGAGAGTGCATTCTAGGGGAATGAGCGCATCCATCGATAGCAAGTTTTCAAAGGGGGCTAGGACCCAGCAGAGTTTAGAACAATTCATGCCACCAAGGGGAAACTGAGGCCTCCATGTCATTTGGGACCCTTCACAACCAATTTGAAGCCCCCGTTTTAGTCCCTGGTATATGTGAGCTGCTTCTTAATGCATAATGGCTATTTCGGGTAACATCATTTCACTGCTTGGCTTCTATTCTAAGCCCTTTCCTCTCACCGTAGGGTGCCTGAAGGGTGGCTGATACATATGGTACAATGGCACCCAATATAAAGCAGCTACAATTAGGAGTGAATGTGTTCTGTAGTATCAAGAAATGTAATCTTTGGCCCAGCAATTGTTTTTCTGCTGCTTGTACTGGTGCCTGACTACTTTTCTTTCATTGACCATTTTCTACGACCATAATAGACATCCATCGTTTGCTCCTATTTTGTATCCCTGGTTTGCGTGGTTGATAGTGAACAGGCTTATTTTTAAATGGTGCTGCCAAACCCAGCTAATGGTGCAGGTGGATTTTTAGCAAGCGGGCTCCCTGGAAAAGACTGAACCAGGCATTGGATTCCTGAAGATGTTTGGGGTTATTTTTTGGTTTGGTTTGTTTGGTTTGGTTCTTATTATTAATTGAAGGTTAACAGTCTCTGAAAAGTTTTGTTGGACTCTGGCTGAACCACAAAATCAGTATATTTGGAAGTAATCTGAAGCTTAACTTTTTCCTGGCCAGCCTTGTATTCTAATTGCTTGCAAGTGTGAGACTGAAATGGCCAAAATGCCGTGTTTTGTTTTGTTTTTTTTTATTTCTCTGTTAATTGTCAGCTGCTTTTCTTAAATTCCAGGCCATTATCCAGCAAACACTATAAAGATGTTTGAACAGTTGCATTTCAAACATTTTCGTTTTGTGGAGTGGTGCTTATCAAGTGGTACAGCTCTCGAAGCAAGTGAACACAAACATATTTAAGTGTATTTTGTATGATTAGAGGTTACCAATTCTGATATTTTATTCAAATGTCTAAAAAAGTAAGTTGACTATTCCCTTTACCAAAGGGCCAGAGACAAATGATTTCCCTTCAAGAGAAATGACTGTTTTGGAGAAAAATGTGTTGGTCTTAGTTCTTTTGTAATTAAATCTGGATGTACCTCAAAAGACTCTTTAAGACTGTGGTGTTAAAAGGCTTTCCTCTGGAGAAAGGAGAAAAGAAAAAAGAAAAATCAACTGGAACTTAAAAGCTTGAAATTCCGTGACAAAACACAGATGTCCAGGATTGGAGGTTCATGAAGTGTTTGCAGTAGTTGGAGTGGATACACTTTTCAGTGTAGCTGCCACTGTGGACTCCAGGTTTCCAGATTTTCAATCACCTGTGACCCTGAAGAGCTTGTCAAGATGTGGCAGGAACTCTGGAGGTCGATGGTTCGTGTTTTTCAAGTTTGGAACTGTGGATCTTGCTGTGAATAAAGAGGCAACAAGTCACCAAGCACTGCCACCAGCACTGTTACTGGGAATTTGAAGACCCCGGTTTCTGTCCAGACCCTCAGTGCAAACTGACACCACTGCATCCAAAGTGAACTACGGTACTTACCATTTTCCAAACGCCCTTACTTTCGATTTCTGCACTTTCTTCTTACTCCCTTTACTCTGGAAATGCACTTCTGTGGTTCATCACTTGGCACAGCTCTGCCATTTCCTCATTTGCAACTAAAATGCTCTCTTCCTGTGACCCTCTTAACATTAGAAAAAACATCTCTAGCATAACTTTAATCTTTTATGTGCAAAATCTGGTAAAAGTGACTTGTATGCATTTGTTCTTTTTCCATATAGCAGATGCTGAAAGTAAAAACCTTGGTTTTATGTCCCTTTGCCCAAACATGCCACCACGTCTAATGAAGCCTTTTTTAAAGCAGGGAACATAACTAACATTATTCTTGATAAAAAGAATTCGTTAGATAAAAACCACGTTCTTTCATGTTTTATTTCTTAATTCTAGATTCAAAAGAAAACTAGGGAACCATAGACAAAGGAATTGAGAGTCGAATGGGAGTGTTAAAGATAAGCATGTTGGGGGCTAGAGAGATGGCTCAGAGGTTAAGAGCACTGGCTGTTCTTCCAAAGGTCCTGAGTTCAATTCCCAGCAACCACATGGTGGCTGAAAACCATCTGTAATGAGATCTGGTTCCCTCTTTGGGCCTGCAGGGATACATGCAGGCAGAATACTGTATACATAATAAATAAATAAATCTTTAAAAAAAAAAAAAAAAAAAAGCATGTTGACCGACCAAGGCCTTGGTCGAGATAGAGCTTGTTAAAGTGAAGGTTAGGACAGTTTTAAAGGACAGGGGTATAAGGTGGCATTGGGACAGTACTGAGAAAGTAAGGATAAAATTGGTGTGTTACCTAAAATCTCACTTCTTTTTGTACCAGTTGTGAAACCACTTTTATGTCCTATCACCTAATGCCCAGGAGCCTGAAAACAATTAAATTACTGCCCCAAAGTAGGAGTTTTAAGGCATTCCCTTTTTGTTGATCCCTGAGACAGTCAGAAAAATACCTTTGCCAGAGAACTATCAGCATTTGTTCATCCAACCTTTTTTTTTTGCTGACTTTGCCTCTAGCAATTAATATTTCTATCATCATGTAAGCCAGGCTTGTGGATACCCATCAGACAGTTGATATGCTGACAGCAGCTCCCACCCCAGTGTTAGACTCCTGTGTTTATAATTCCATGCGCTTGTTACCTTAACTATTTTTCCCTGCCCCTTCTAGTCCTGTGCCTCCTGATTGCTGAGTGTTCACCTGGAACCTCTGATGACCTTCTGCTAGTCCATCAGCCTGCAGACCTGGTACCTGGATTTTTGTCCACAGTGATTCCTACCACCTTACTACTGAAGAAGACACCATTCCAGTGGACCACTGTGACCCAAGAAGCATTCAACCATCATGATGTGACCTTTACCTCCACTCCTGTTCTACTCTGCCCAGATTCAGCACAGCCCTTTATAGTGCAGTCAAGAGTCTTCAAGCCAAATAACTGAAGCTATTTTATCACAACAAAGGCCAAGTTTATTCCATAAATGTACAGTTCATTTCTGCAGTTAAAAGTCTTCAGAGACACATAGTAAACTTGGACCGGGGGATTTTGTGTTTTGTTTTGTTTTTAAATTGTCAACACTGTCTGAAAATGGCATCATCTCTGAGAACAGCATTGGAACCTACTCCACAATCTCAAATGACTGACATTTGAACGAACTGCCTAGGATCCTGTCAAGGTCACTGGACTCTTGTTTTTTTCCATACTTCAAATCTGTAGCTGTCTACTGAAATGAGAAAGCAGATATTCTGACCCACTGGGATCAAAACCAAGGCATATTGAATTCCTCATAGTATCATCTTTGGGTTACTCAGGAACCAAAATTTTTCACCGATTTAAGAAATTCTACTAAGGAATCCCTTTACCTAACCATCTCACAAGGCTTCAACCCAGATTCCAGAAAAGACCTTGATACATCAAGATAGAACTTATATGGTAATCTCCTTTGTTTATATAGCACTTTACAGGTTCAGAGCACTTTCATATACATTTATGTCAGTTATCAATACAGTCACACCCCTTTTTGAAATGAGGAAACAGAATTTTAAGAATTTAAGCAATTTCCAATGTGACACAGTAAGTGTCCTTCTGACTCCTGGTCCAGTATTAACCTTGGCATTATCTTAGCCTTCACTTTATTCACAGTATTAAAATGCCTGGAGACTGAAAATGTACAAGTTTCCACTTTATATGGTGCCCTTATTAGCATGATGTTTGAAGTTTAATCATGATAACTATATTTAGACCAGAATCCTTAATGATGTCCCTGAGGTATAAGAACAAGCAGTCTCCATGGTGGTTGGTGATTTGGCTTTTTAAAAAAAAAAAATTGTTAGAAAACAAGGCTATTATGCAATATGAAACAAACATTTTTAGATTTCCTTATTCATTTTTATGGTCTTCCCAGGTATAGACCAATGAACTACAGATCTGCACTTATTTTTGTTATTGCTTTAAGTTTTATTAATGTTCCTGGACACAGAAAGCTTACCTATGGTCTGTCCCCAAATTAATAGGTAGAATGGGCCATTTGCTTTTATATATGTATATAATTTATAGTTTTTGTTGTTCAATGAGGTGGTAAAATATGTAATATGTGTCCCCACACAGTGTAGTGTAGCGTATTAGGGTTTTGAGACCTGCAGTAAAGCTTCATATAGCTGTTTAACACATTGTTCAGATTGCTGCAGGGGTTTTTGTTTTTTTCCAATATTCTTTTTAACAGAATGGGAAACCGTTAGAACTGTGTTACCAATGCTTAATTATTGGCAGATTGGCCTGGAGACCCAGTAATAAGTTCACTGTTTGAAACTGCCCTTTCATGTTTTGTCATTAACTACTTGAATTATTATGTTACATCTGAGTGTTACACGTTTGGGTTATTACTTTTTTGTCAAGGGGACCTCTAAAATATGGGAGAATGGAGGGGGAATTGACTTTGGTGTCAGTTGAGTTAGCAATAACTTCACAATAGAGTCATGTAACTTTTAAAGGAATTGCTTCTCAAGTAAGGAGGGAAAAGGAAGAGATAGAATTAGAGTTGTGGCCCAGTCAGATCTTACTGCTTAAGTGAAGTCATCCAACCTTGGACTTCTCAAAAGTAATATTTGCAAATTCCCAGTGCTATTACAACCTAAAACCAATAGTCTTGTTCCCCCGTAGTCATTTTTTTTTTTTTTTTGTTTTTTGTTTTTTGTTTTTTTCTGGAGCTGAGGACCGAACCCAGGGCCTTGAGCTTGCTAGGCAAGCGCTCTACCATTGAGCTAAATCCCCAACCCCATTTTTTAATCAATTATTTTTATCAATTCTTAGGGAATTTTATATAGTGTCCTCCCCTCCACCCACCCACCCCCAGTTTGTGTTGTCCAGGTACTCATGGGGCCACCCACTAGAGCATGATCAACCTTTTTAGTCATTTTAGTCACCAAAAGCTCAACTTTCAAGTAATCAAAATTTACAGTAAACTCAAGCTTTAATTCCATCAGTCAATAACATGGTCCACATTAGGTAATTAGGTCTATTTGTAGTCTTAGCATTGAGTTTGCTTACCCATATTCTGGTTCCCATGACCTTTTTTTTGTATTTCAGCATTTTGTGAACAGCTTATCCTTATCACTGATTTTCCAAAGGCTTTGTGCTCATGAAGTCCTTTGAAGGAAAGCTACATGGAAGTCCAGAGTAAAGTGAAGCCGCTCTGGATGAAGTTATGAAGCAGGAGTAGGGGTCTGCAGCCTGCCACAACTGTCTGTCCTCCTTTACCACCATGGTGACACCTAAAGGGACCTCCTTAAGTAAAATTCTTCAGAAAATACTGCTTGAAACCACTACCCAAGACAACATGTTTGACCTGAATGACATTCTGACCTTTTAGGTACTTTCAACTCTATATAGTTCATATTCAGTTGATGCTGAGCATGTTTGGAGATGGATATGCCTTTGTCCAGAGAACGATCATACAGCGTTGTCAAGTGAAATTTTATTAATAGCATTCCATCCAAGGTGGACTTCCTGGAGTTGGATATAGCCAGAGAGCAATTCATGTGTATCCTACACCGAAGAACCGCATTAACTTTCACAAACCTGTAACTAGTGGTACTGGACGTACGTGACTTGGAAGTCTTGGAACTTGGATATACGAATTTGCCTGAAAGCTGGTTTTGAAGCTGATGCCTCATTGAGGCCATCTTAGACCAAGTTGTTCATTTGATCTCTCCTCATTAACTATGGTATTCCATGTACAAAGGATAACCATTGACTGTGAAGCAAAATCCAAATACAGTTTTTCCTAAAGGGCCTTGCAACCTGGTTATCATTCACTGTCTCAAATTTCAAGTCATGTGACTCAACTACTAGTAATTAAACTGCTCCATGGTTTTCTGTTATTTAATAGCTACTGTTTACAGGGCTTAAAAAAACAAATTCCTCCAACGTGTATTTCTGCCTATTCAAAATTAATTTAACTACTCACCTCTACATGGAACAGATGATCCTGAAGACATACTCTGAACGTCCTTTATCATATATGTGACTTAAAATATAGCTGGAAAATTTTCCTCTACCCAGTGAGATATTCCTTAATGATTATACTCCATGCCTGGTACCATCAGCTGTATGTGATAGGCATAGTTGGACACAGATTCTTTGACTCTAGGCCATGATAACTTGCTAGGCATTTCAAGTAGCATATTGTCAACCTATTTGCTGGAAAAGTAGACTAACTTGGAAAAAAAAAATCTATAAATGGCAGCTAAGGATTTTTTCAGTATTCTTGAGTTTCTGTCCTTGTGGATATTATAATGGAATTTCATCTATATCATACTATCACTTTACACTAGTTCAGAGTGGCTGACTTTATTCCTTACTATGAAGTATTCTTAAGACATTAAGATTGTTTCTCTGTAGAAAGGATAAAATTCCTATAACAAGACTTTAATTTGTGACCTGAGAAAATCTCATTCCTCAACTTCATAGTCAATTTATGGGCCAACTACCAGAGCTACTCTTGAGTGCATTGAGTAAACATTGGAACTGCCTCCTTTATATCCTTGTTTCTATCCCTTAACCATGGTTATGTGATTCTTACACAAATCAGCAAATCAGACTTAGATCTGTTTATTCTAAACTGCTCACAGTCAGCAAATCAAAATCTGGATGACTTCTGCTTGTATATGCAACTATTACTTGTAAAGAAGAAATTACAGATTCACTTTTCTATTACCTCTACATTATTAGTTCTTTTTCTTTTAAATGTATTTGCAGAAGAAAAAAATGAAAAGTCTACACTGCCAGTCATATCCTCTAATCCTGCCATACTCAGTTAAAATGAAGAATCAAGAATCTAATCAGTGATTGGATAAGTAGAAAAAACTAAAACTTAAGGCAAAAGCCTTAATCTTGGGCCTTGTCTACTGTCTTCATGCCTCGGAGCTCATCTAAATCTTAAAACAGTGCCACCCAACCAGTCTGAGGCCTTGACTTGCCTTTAAGATGATTCTTGGAGATGGGCTGTATTACAGAAGGTGAAGACTTGATTACCAAAGAAAGTAGAGCCAACTACGACAAACCTGGCTCTACGGTCCTGTTGCTCCCAGATGTAGCATAGACTTCTAACTAGAACCTCGAGTCTGCATTGAGGATATAGCCTTCTAAGCTGACAGTTCTTGCACAGATGAGCAGGAAAATGAAAGCTGCTATACCCAACTGGCCCTTTAAGATCCAAAAAATTATGTCTGGAGTAAACCCTATGGAGTACCCAGGACAAAAACTAATTTACAGAGCTTCGTTGTTAAACTGCCTGTTCCTTCAGATTATAGCTTAACTGTTGGTATGGCTGGCCCTGCTGAAGTTATTCTTGTCTTTACTTGTCTTCAGCTCCTTAACCTGCCTGTTTTGACATGCTACTGCAATCAGACTAACTGGCCTTGAGAAGACTACAGTCAGTTTCAGCCTCTCTTGTGCCCAGTTCCATCAAGGAATTTTGAACAGAAGGAACCTGTACCTCACCCATCCAGAACTAAGTTCACCTTAACGAGACATAGAGCAACACCAGAACTTTACCACTGAACTTAATTTGCAACTAACTCAAATAGCCTCACAGATCTGTTTGCCAAGTAGAATGGTTTTCCTGCTTCACATCACCAATGTAGTGGGGCACTGATAAATCTGACTTGAATGGAAACCCTATGGTGAATCCTTGAGTATGATGCTAATGAAAATTACTGTTCATTCGAGCGAATTGTAGGCTTCCTGGTGACAGGATAGACATCACTCCTGGTGATTTTTAGAATTCGATTACCAAGGAAGAAATGCCAGCTACTATAAGTCAACTTTATAGGCAAAGATTAAGCTCACTGTACCTGGTCCTTTCCTGGATGTCGTTTTTTTATTTGCCCAGTGTCCATTCCATCTAACTATAACAACTTCTGATGTTTTTTGGAACCATCTCTTCCAATTTTCAGTCCACGTGGTGTAGACAGTTGTTGAATCTTGTGCTGGACAAGTTATTCCAACCTCATCAATCAGCAAAGTCCATCTTGACTCTAGTGATTGGTTCAGGAATGGATGCATGATTCAAGTTTGTCCAATGATAATCAACCCTAGGCGTTTTACTCAGTTGTGGAAATGTTCTCTTTACTTAGATGCTTTAGCTTTGTAGAAGAAAAACTCAAAACCAACAGGGCCTACTATGTTGAATGAGCCAGGCAGAAAATGAAGCCAGTTCAGAGGGAAACAGCCAAAAGAGGGAAAGACTTGAGTTCTGATGACGTTTATGCCCCTGGATCCAACCGTGCCTGAAGCTAGTGATATATCCCCTGGACTTTGCAGTTATGTGAACCAATAAATACCCTTTTTTGTTGAAGTTACTTTGAGTTTGGTTTCTGTTACTTGAAATTTGAGTCCTGACTAATAACAGTATTTACCAGTAATGAAAGAAACTTGACATGTTCAGGTTATTTATTAAGCTAGAGGTTAAGGCCACAACAAAATTATTTTCTTAAAGAAAAACAAACTGAGAATAATATACTACAGAAACATAAAAATTACTGGTAGGAACTTCAAAGATTGGTTGGAATAATCTGATTCAGCCATAAAAGTCTATATAGTTGTTAACATAAATAAGGTACATTTATTGTGAGTAGACATCGAAAAGTGGCCATAAGTTGAAACAAGTTATTGTTAGAAATGTATGGTGTGAACTCATTTCAAAGTGTATGCTTATCTTTGTAAATGCATAGAAAAGTCTTAATACTGACTTTCTTTGAGCAGTGTTGATTACATGAGATTCAACTTTACTATTTTACACTACCACATTACTTTTAAACAGGCGGTGGTGGCGCACGCCTTTAATTCCCGCACTTGGGAGGCAGAGCCAGGAGGATCTCTGTGAGTTCGAGGCCAGCCTGGGCTACCAAGTGAGTTCCAGGAAAGGCACAAAGCTACACAGGGAAACCCTGTCTCAGAAAAAAAAATAAAAAAGAATTTTAAAAGTAAATGCCAGCCGGGCGGTGGTGGCACACGCCTTTAATCCCAGCACTCGGGAGGCAGAGCCAGGCAGATCTCTGAGTTAGAGGCAAGCCTGGTCTACAGAGTGAGATCCAGGAAAGGCGCAAAGCTACACAGAGAGACCCTGTCTCAAAACACACACAAAGTAAATCCCTGCTGTTTGACCTTGGCAAATTACTTAACCCTGAGCCTATATGTCAAATGATTAAAAATACCCCCTGTATATCGAATCTAGCACTTAAATTCTTGCATTATGCAAGCTGGCAGACTGCTATACTTTAGGAAGCTTTGAGTTTGTTAATTGTTCCTTAGTTTTTAAAGCATCCTTTAAAACATCTTGAGTCATCAAAATTACCAGTAGCTTGATAGCTTCACTTTACATGAAAGATTTTTCCAAATTTAAAAGTGATGACTAAACTACTAAATCCTGATTGCATTGCTTACATTAGGCAAAGAGAAGAAAATGAGTCACTTTTTGAAATCCTGTGTCACTGCAATAAAAGTCAGATTGCTGAATCTACTACAGTGTACCTTGATGAAGCACTGATGATAGTGTGACCTTTGCATCCTGGCTACTGGTCCACTGAAGATTCTCTTCTTTGCTAACTATTAGTATAATGGACATCCATTGCTTTGGCCTGCCTCAAATCACTTCTTTCACTGACAGCTCAACTCTTTGAAAAGCTACTCCTTCCCTTTCTGTGTTGTTTTAGTGGAATAGTACATGGCAAGACACTGACCTCGTACTCCTGGCCAAAGTTTGAGCAGTCTAAGTATATCCTATTAAAATTGCTCTCCCACCAGGACTTTGGGTTTTAAAGAGAAACAACAAAGACAAATTGGCAGGAATTTAGTCATTCTGGTGAAAACATCCCAAAGAAACAATATAGGCAATGATACAAAATCCCATAAAGAACCCTCATACCAGTTTTCCAGGTCTGTTACTCAAATTTTCCTTTAATTGCAGACTCCTACATCCTCTTTACAAGTTTACCTTTTGTAAGGAAATAAAAAATGAAATTCCCGGATTGGCAAGATGGCTCAGCAGATAAATGTACTTGCTGTCAAGGCTGACAACCTGTTTTGGGTCCCCAGCACCAACATAGGAGAGAACCAACTCCAGCAAATTATCCTCCGACCATCTACATTTGGCATACATAGAAATAAACGTAATTTCAGAATGAGTTTTATTAGTGGTAGCCAAATGAAGGAACCAGAGAATAAGACAGTAAACTTCAGACCCTCATGAAAACGATTGATTGTTCCATTCAAACTGAATTAGAGGTAGTGGTAACCCACCAAGAAGTCCTGGAAGGCAAGCTCCACCCCGGCCCCTGTTTCCCAGGAGGGAGACTAGTAACAGTATCTTCCCTTGATATTTGGAATCATGTGTAATAAGAGCAAATGTTGGGGATCCAAGACCAAAATGATTAGGCATAGATAGTTAACTTGTTCATTGGTTAACTTAAGTTGAAAAAAACAGTGTCAGTCCAGAGACTTACCTTTTGTCAGGACACTGGTCCTTAGTACTTGAGTCCAAACTAGCACTTGAAGATGAGTTCTCGAATTGCTAAGTTAAAGAGTGAGATAAATTTATAGTATTACTAAAATCTTCTAAAAGTAACATGATTAGCCGAAAGGGAAAGTAATAGATTTCCATAAAACAAGGACCCTAGAAGCCATAAAGAGAACAATAGATGTATTTCTCTATATAAAACAAATCTATAAAAGATATGTTAGACTAAGGAAGGATCTCCAACATGAGTAACACACACAGGATTACTATCCCTGATACATAGGATTCCTGTATGTGACACTAACTGTTGTGTATGTATCGTGACTACAGGCATATCCTGAGAAATGTGTTGTTAGGCAGTTTTGTTATGTGAATGTCAGAGTATACTTAACACAAACCAAAACACCTAGTGCCACTAGGCAGAATCTGTTAAGGCACCACTGTGGTTCATTGTTGATCAAAATGTGGCACATGCACGTAATTGTTAGTCCTTTAGTGCTGTTTTATGTTAGGTATTGTTTCAGGCCTTCAGTCTGCTTTAGAGAGAGGAAATACTCCTGCAAAAGAGACAGCCTTAAAGGAATAAAGTAATTTGCCCATGTCACACAGTGAGTAAGAGAGCTATGACTCCCTCAAGGGGCCTAATTCAGTCTGCTCTAGCCAGCGTGCTCTTCTGCATCTCTGTAAGCAGGAAAGTATCCAAAGCAGTCAGTGAAACATAAACCAGCCACAAAAAGGACTGTTCAAATCAATCAGACGGCAAAATTTTAAAACAGCAGTCACCTACAGTGCTAACAAAAATTAGGACACAATTATTTTTTAACATTCTTGGTGGGAGTGTAGATTGTACCAGTCTTTTGAAAAGGTAACTTGACAAAATTAAAGTTTTTAAATGTATGTTTTTTTAGCCAGTCTTCTTTGAAGACTGACTCAAAAAGCTAAAAATAATAAGACGAAAATATTGGTATAAGAAGTTTACTAACGCTGGGCAGTGGTGGCACACACCTTTAATCCCAACACTTGGGAGGCAGAGGCAGGAGGATCTCTGTGAGTCTGAGGCTAGCCTGTTCTAAAGAGTGAGTTCCAGGGCAGCCAGGACTACATGGAGAAACCCTGTCTGGAAAGTTCAAAAAAAGAAAAGTTAAACATGGAAGTCAGATCTCCTACTCAACTGTGGGGTGTTCATAATGTATTTTTTTAAGCAAAAAAAAAAAAAAAAAAGTACAGAAGAAAGTCGTAACAGCCCACTTTTATGAACACAAGAAAAAATATAATGTGTAAACAAAAATGAAAGAAAAGGAGGCTAGAGAGACGTCGTAGAGGCTAAGAGCGATTACTGGTCTTATAAAGGACCCAGGTTCAGTTCCCAGCACCTCCATGACAATTTACAACCATCCCTGACTCCAGTGGATCTGATGTCTTATTCTGACCTCAAATACCATGTACATACATACAAAATCTAAAATATCAGTTGTCTATAGTGGTAGCAAAAATTAGGATCAATGAGAACTTTTTTACATTATGGTGGGAATGTACATTGTCGCAGTCTTTCTAGAAGGTGATTTGATATCAATTAAAATTAGAAAACACTTGAATGAAACAGTTACTGAAAATTGAGTTTGGTGAAACTCGGTATCTAAAACATTTGTTAGAATGGCTTTGTGGTTATGCAAAGCAGATGCCCTTTATAGCCAAGAAAATTCTGGTTCTAAATGAAATACTTTAAATATAAGTTTAAGAATTGTTACATTGGGGCTGGAGAGATGGCTCAGAGGTTAAGAGCACTGACTGTTCTTCCAGAGGTCCTGAGGTCAATTCCCAGCAACCACATGGTGGCTCACAACTATCTGTAATGAGATCTGGTGCCCTCTTCTGGCCTGTAGACATATATGCAGGCAGAACATTGTATACATAATAAATAAATCTTTAAAAAAAAAATTCTTTAAAAAAAAAAAAGAATTGTTACATTGAACCTGGACTATTTCAAATCAGAATGTACCAATCAAATGGGCACAGCACTGAGGAGGCAGAGGCAGGAAGACAGCCATGTGTTTGAAACAAGCCTGGTACATGGCTAGTTTAGGAGTTTTTAAGAGGGAAAAAAAAAAAAGCAACAAGCTGGGGTTAGTGGTAGAGCACCTGCCTCATAGTAAAGGCTTGGACTGGATCCCCAGCTCTAAAAGAAGAAGGAACAGGAGAAAGATGAAGTCTTTCACAGCTGCCTTTTGAAGATGCTCAACCTTTGGATAGGCCTCTTCCCACAACAAAAAAAGGGCTAACTTTTAGAGTGCCACATTCTGACAGAAGACTGGTTCTCGGCTGGTCATGACCCCCAGAGGGGTCTCCTATCAGATAGTCTGCATATCAGACATTTACAGTTCATAACAGAAGCAAAATTACAGTCATGAACTAGCAATGAAATAATTTCATGGTTCGGGGTCACCACAACATGAGGAACTGTATTAAAGGGTCACAGCATTAGGAAGGTTGAGAACCACTGCATCTGTTCATCAATTAAACACATTTCTCACCCTGTTTGGCAAGTATAACCTCAGTAAATTCAGGTTCTCCAAAAAGGTAAACCCAACAGGATGTATGTATGTATAAGATCCTGGTGTAGATATATGATGGGCACTTATTAGGGAAATTGATTCCACTGTGGAGGCTGATGAATGTCACAATAGGCCAGCCACAAGCTGGGGTGCTGGGAGAACAGTTCAGTCCAGATACAAAGGTCTGACAACTTCCGAGTTTGTGCTATCTGGACTCCACCCACATTGGAAGTAGACTTTCCTCTACTTGGTCCTTACACACAAATCTTGACACTAAAACATATTGCT